TCTAGGAATGCACGCTAACAAAATTAATGCTTTTTACGATAAACATTACGAAACTGCCCCTAGCCCTAATCCGAAGCTAAAAGCAAGCAATAATAGCAATTACAAAGTTATACTGAATCAAATAACTTTGTGTCAAGTTTAACCCAAGTTATTTCATTTGAGAAACTAACACACCTGTAACACTTCGACAAATAAAGATAAAGTTTTAAAGTTTAAATCGCTGTCTTCTTAAACTCCTCAAAGTATTTTCTTGGCTATTAGATCTTTATAAGTTTTGTCACTTATGTCTCATGCTTTATTTAATCGAAATATTCCTTCCTGAAGTTCAACTGAATCTAAGAGTTTGGTTGCTACATAGTAGCTAATGCTATTTATCTAAGAAAAAAAATCAAACGTTTTTAATAACGTGTAGTTAGTAACAGATATTGTCAAATCGTTAAGTCGACTTGGTGGTAGTTTTCCAGGTAAGACAAGAACAAAAACCAAAGAGGACTACGAAGCAAGGCTGTTCTTTAGGATGTGTCACCTTCTTCCAAAGGCTTCTCGCAGTAATATGCCTTTGATTCATCAAGTAAATTCAAATCCAAAGAAGGAGTTCCCTTCACCATCATCTTCTCCAGCGCTTTTGCGGCGAGATCAAACGTCGGTCGCGCGCTGGGGTCCTCATTCCAACATTCTAATAGCAGCTGGAACCTGTCAAAGGAACAGTAACACAGTGTCAACAACGCGTTAAACAAAATGTCTACATACGGACAGGCTAAGGACTGCTAGCGCTTCGCGTGGTGAAGGCAAAGCTGAAAGGAAAATCCAGAGAAAAAAGCTTTCTTGTAGGCTGCATTTTTATCCGTTACACAAAATATTTATCATCATAAGTAGCCTAAAACTATACTTACAGTTCATCGGAACACATGTCGGGCTTTTCCATGCGATATCCTGTTTTTAGAAGCTTGTACAATTCTTTGTTACTTATACCAGGGTATGGTTTCCCTCCTACAATAACAAGTTTTTTAATCAGCTGTTTAGGCTATAAACTGATGACAACCTTAACTATTTTGCAAAATCGAAATAACTTGGCTCGCTCACTCCCCGTGAATACTATTAAGTCACCAAGTCGTTGGATGTTTTTTTCTTGTGAAAGACGTTATTAGACAGTTCAATTTTCCTTAACCATATGCTTCCTGTGGGCATGGGGGCTTCGGAGGGCCCCAACTTTAAAACCGCCCATGACTGAATGACCACTTAAATTACACTGAATAATGTACACGTTATTTTCAACATTTAGGTATAATTTGTTTGACACATTGCTGTACATTGACGTCATAATGGCGTTGGCAGAACCCAAATTTTTCCCGAAAACTAGCTATAAAGCGAAAAGCCATGAACCTATGAAGATGGCTGACACATTGGTAATCTTTAACAATAGAAGTGACGTCTGACCCGCCATCTTGGATCCGCAGTTTTGAATTAATTAAATAACTTTTTCCGAAATAAATGTTAGGAAAAGTCGCGAAGTTTTGCGGTCCAGCTTAACGGTTTTGAAGTTATTCAACTTAGCTCCCCTGGTCTGAACAGGGTTAAGACAGCATTTTTGTATTTCCGCCTCTCAGTATATTTGATTCTGTTTAAGTTCGAGAAACGTTTCCCTTTCGTTTATTAGTTGAGTGAATAGTGAGGATATCAATTTGCCGTTTAAAGATCTAAACTAGATCCTTGCCTTAATGTCTTCAGCCAAAAGATGAAAAAAATCGTGTTTTTTTCATACTGCATTCAATGACTCCATACGTGACAAACGGATTTCTAAATTGTGCTTTATTAATTCTTACCCATCGTGGAAAGTTCCCATAGCACAACTCCAAAAGACCACCTAAAGATAAATTATACAGTACTAAAATTCGTACTCTTTGTGAAATAATCATTGTCAAGTTATTTGAAGAAATCTCGATGACCATGAGGAAAGATAAAGACGACGGCGACGGCTACGGAAACGTCACTTGAAAAGTGAATTTGCACTGCCTCAAACATTTTGGCGCTTATTCCGTCTAGTTTAATTCGTCAAATGTTGGCAAATTTTTTTGGATTTGAATTCTAAAGGACTGCGTCAAAGTTCAGGAAAAGAAAAAGAAAGTTATTGTCTGTGTTCCCGTCCTCGACAAAACGTGAAATAGGCAGTTTCACGTTGTAGTCGTGCAACGACGGCAGGGACATGTACAAAAAAGCGTGATGCACGTGCAAAGTTGTTGTTTTGTCTTGTTTGCTGGTGCTACGTCAGCAGAACCAACGATCTCTGGTTGGCAGCTTACCTACTCAAGGCGGTATAAACTAATATCTTAGTTTTCTTGTCCACATTGAAATGTTATTCACAAACATTGCTTATGTGGTCACAGGGTCCAGAGGAGTTTCGTATGAATAAATGAATTACTTACCTTGAAAAATGTCTATACCTTAGCACGATTAATTAGCCCAATGGGATCTTTATAAATCTACTGTAAACGATTTCTTCGCTTCTTATCTGACCCAGATCGACTTTTGAAAATCAATAACCGCAAGCCATATCCTCGCTGGCGCACGGCACGTCGTCGTCGTCGTCGTCGCTGGCGCACGGCACGTCGTCGTCCTGTAAGCCGATCTTGCGAGCCCTCGGTCTCTTGGTTTGCGGTCTATAGAATGTGTAACGAAACCGTAGCGCGATCAAAATAACCCGTTTTTTCAGAGGTTTTCGACGGGTTTTGATGTTCTAACGACAAACACATCTCCTCTGGACCCTGTGATGTGGTCTTATATTTCAATTTGGGAATCCAACCAGCACGCTTTTCATTGATAGGTAAGCTTGTTATTTATTTATTGCATAGCATTGCTTTGCAAGGCGCAATCCTTAAAACATAAAAGCATGAAAATACTGCGGCCATTTTTTAACTAATTGAAGAGAAATATGATTTTGTATCAACCTGACAGAACTATATTTAATAAATAAAAGCATTAACAGAATTAGATAAAAGTGTAAATTTGATTTTTTCATTGTTATGGGGGGCTCCTTTAGAAACCCTAAAAATATCATTGTAATACTCAGGTACAACTGTCAGAGCTCAACCCTTTGACGCTGATGGAACTCTGAAGAAAGAAAATGAAGACCGTGGGAGAATATAATGATCGTCATGACCTTTTTATGCTCTCAATGGTTAATAACAGAATTAAATGGTGTCATCTGTTTTCTGGTGTAATACCAATGCTTAGCAAAACTCACACTCTACACTACTGTCGTAGCCTGACGATTACTTGTCCTAATCACGTAGCCGTCAACAAAAGATCTGGGTACGAGTTGATACTTGACTCATGCACTTAGTGAACTATCTTGGAGGTAGGAAACCATCGAGGTATCGAACAGAGAGCGGCGCTTCCAATTCTCACAACAGTCGCCCTTTTTACTTGCTAAGGGGCTGGTCATTCGACAAGAGCGGGCTGTCCCAACTAATCTGGCAAACGTAGTAGAAAACTGGGCAGGTCCCGTGGCTTAAGTTACGTTCAGGGCCTTAATTTTCTTGCACGTGGACTTTTTCCGAAATTAAGATCATTGGAGATGTTGAGGAATTATTTGGGTTTCAATTAAGTAAAAAGTATATTCATAAGCGAAATACCAGCTTCCTTTTAAATCCGAAATATTCTTGGCTATCTTATTTTCCTCCAACCACGGACGGAGGATAAACTACACCCCTCAAGAGAGAGGTACCGTCTAGAGATTTAAAGTCAGACGCTTTCAGCGCCAGTCCTTTCTCAGAATAAATCAAAGGAATGTGTTTTTTGTCTTTCTTAATTGATTCAGCCAATACATAAAACCAGATTTTTGTGAATCACTCACCCCGAGCAGGAACAAAGTGTTTCAATCATTTACCCTTCAAAGGGTTATTGAAACAGACGGTAATGAACACAGTAATTAAGTCGTGGACAGTGTTACATTTTGGCGACAAACTTTATTGTTCACTGTATTATATTTTAAGGTCGGGGGGGGGAGGGTCTTGCCTAACTTATTCCGCAACAAATGTGAATGTAATGTACCCCCTTGAAAGCGTTTTCTTAACTACATGTAGGTCACCAGAAGGCTAACTTACACTATGGAGATTTCAGTATCAGTTTGTAGCTGTCAATACAATTATCCGTGGCTTTGAAGTGGACAAGTCTGCTCAATACATCCACAGCTAATTGCTCCACAAAGTATTGGAAATGACGTATGCAATCTGATTCTAAATAAAGTGTTATTAGCTCTCATAGCAGACCTCTTGTTAAGATTTCGGTTCATCTTCCGAAAATAGTCTTGCATTTGTAGTACATACTGTAAGCGGATACGTATATTGATGATAAAATCACCATATAGATTAAGTCCAAAATTGCTTCTACAGCTGGCGTAAGTTTTCTGAAAAATAATAAGAATTTATTCTTCAACAAAAATGAGTGCAACAAAAAGTATACAACAAAAGTGTATTACAATAGAAAAGTGTGCAACGAAACACGTTTCCTCCAGCAAAAATGTATGCCAAAAAAAACGTTTATGAGAAGAAAGTATACATCTAGGAAATTTTCACAGCAATAAAGTATACATCAAAAAGTGTACAACATAAATGTATATAATAAAAAGGTACTTAGCAAAAATTTATTCAACAAACACGTATACGGTCTATACAACAAAAAAGTACACAAAAAGGACTTTACAAAAAAACATGTTTACGACAACGTTTATCATATAAAATTAGACAAAACTTTATCCAGCACAACATGTGTGTAGCATACACCTATACAAAAAACAATTATCAATAAACAAAATCCTCATACTGACGACGAAAATGTTTACAAAAAAATGCATACAAAAAACGTGCATACCACCTAAGTGTATATCGAAAATGGTTTACAACAAAAGGAAAACAACAAAAAGTGTACAAATAACTGTATCAAACCAAAAAAATATTTAAAAAACTACATACAGCAAATATTTATACCACAGAAACCTAACTTATACATTATCATAAACGTTTATAACAAAAACGTTGACAACAAAAAAGTATGCAAAGTGCATAAACTAAGATATATCAAACAATGGCGTATACATCTTTGTAGTTTGCAATAAAAATGTATTCAACAACAATGTTCAACAAATAGGTTTAAATGTATAATACAAAAGTCTATACAACAGAAAATTATACCGGCTTCGACATTGTACAGAGCAAAAATTTTCGTTTTCTATGATAAATACAGAAAAATAATGTATACAATAAAAAAGCGTACATCAAAGCGTTTAAAACAAAACGGATACATGTATACGGGCAACAAGTCCAGTTTTGAAAAAAATATATTATTCATTCAAACAGCATACAACACAAACGTTTACATTTGCAGACATAACAGCTAGCTTTAAAAATCCCAAAAAATCGTGGAGACCATATTGAAGTATTTCTGGAATGTTATTGTGGCAAAACTTAGTTATAAAGCGATTTTGTTTTTTCTTAGCCTAACTTGTTCACAGCTTTCAGAGTTTGACACTTACGAGGTATTGGAAGCCACCTGTCAGCGTCTACCCAGCGGCTGTACATAAACTGTCTATATCCCGGTTGATCTCCTTTTTTAATGCCAATCTGTGATAAAACAGCCATCGTACTGAGTAACTTACGGTATTTCAAAAATTCATTAAGAATTCATAAAGAAAAAACAAGAGAAATTAATATTTAACGAGTGTCTTTATATTTGGTAAAGACACGGCTTAACTTTACGTCCAATTCGTTAAAGACCAAAATAACCGCAAATCAAAATATTAGTGCAAGAATGAGTTGATCTACAACAGATTTTGAGGCCGTTCAAAAACTCGCAGTCGTTGTTATCAGGTGTAAAAACTCTTGGCTTCGCCTAGAATTTTAAACCTGATAATACACTCCTGCTCGTTTTTAAACAGTCCTTGATTAATCGGTATAAGTAGAGCGAGGGAGACCGTTCTATGGAAAGACATACGTTTTTTTCCTCTAGGCATACCATAATAGTCTTTAAAATCCTTCTGATGTACCTTTCCGTTGTTTTCAATTAACAGAAGAACATATAACCTAGGTGGAACAGGAAGTCATTATTACGACTTCAGTAGCCGCTTCAGTAGGAGCAAAAATGACCTGCTGGCTCTAAAACAAAAGTTGCATTTCATCGGATAATGTCCTGGCTCCTCGGCCTCCGGTTGTCAGGTATTATTGCGAAAAAGGTCTTTTGCGATAACTGTAAGAAAATGAATGTAAGGAAACTTTCCCCATTTGATACATTTTGCTTAGTAACTCACTGACTCAAGATGCCAACCATCTCCCCAGCCAGAGGTATCTCGGTAAATTTCTACACCTTTCACGCGTCCTACGTCTCTACCTTCGACAGTGAAATCGTCCTCACTACAATAAAAAGTAAAAAGTTGAAATATAAGTTCTTTTTCCAATATCCCCACATTTTGCATAAGTTATTATTGTCAAACTGATGCTCTTGGTAGTATGGAGCATTTAAAAGCAATAGATTATGCAACGTTTGGGGGGAGGGGGTACAAAAAAAGCGTATTATAATGATTCGAAAATAGAGGATAAAGGTAGTTTTGAGTGACATTTTCCTATACCGTCTCCACGCTTTTTTGCGATTGTTTGTTTCTTTGTGTTTGCTCCTTTTGTTTCAAGTTTTAATTTTTTATAATTATAGTCTGGTGAATAGGTAGCGGCAACTTCTTATATTTGATGAAATTTAATATCATGGAACCTATTTTAATTGCTTGTGGGAAACAAGAAAAAAAAAAAACTTCCGAAGCCCTCAGCCTCACAACTAGCCCTTTCCTTTTAAATATAACTCCTGTACGGAAACTCTGAATTCCACATGACGTCACTTCCGCCATCTTGGTGTCCCAAACGATAAAACGGTGGCCATATTGGTGCCCCAAACCGGTCCTGTGGCATGTAAACGAGCGCGTAGGCGTAGTAGTGAGAACACTCGCCTCCCACCAATGTTGCCCGGGTTCAGATCCCGGCGTCGACATCATATGTGGGTTGAGTTTGTTGTTCGTTCTCACCCAAAAAAACCAACACTTCCAAATTCCAATTCGATCTGGAACGCACGGACACAATTCAACGAGTTCTCAAGAACTCCTAAGTGCTACGTGGGCAAACAGCAAATTACAATTAAAAAGAAATTTTTTTTACGCTTTCTTTTGTACCAATATGTTTTAAATATGGCTGTTAGCCACGTGAGTAAAAACGCTCCATAAGCCCCTGGAGACTGAATAGAGGAAGTCAGGTACCTGTTCACCTCGAAGTCATCTCTGTTTGGGTTATCCAGTTTTATTTGATCTGTGACGCCGTTGTTACCATGTATTTTGATCCATACATTTGCATCCGTGTCAGCGTCACCAAATGGAGAGGTTCTTACTCTTACGTGATACACTGTGGGTAGAAGTGAAAAAAAGAGCCCCAAAATGTACCTTAATATTTCCTGGATATAATATGCCATTTGCATGATGACGTCATTTTACTACTACGACCAGAATCCTTCAGATATTGCTTTCTAACTTTGAAAAGAAAAACGATACGGATTCTAGTCGTAGTAGTAAAATGACGCCAGCGTGCGAATGGCCTATTCCCCAGTTTATAATTATTTTCAGTTCAAGGTTCATCTGACACAGTTTTATGTTAATTGCAACAACATACAGTGCAAGGTAATTTCCTGTTATTTGTTATGCCGTGCAATGTATATTATTCTTCTAAAATACATTAGCTAAAAAAATCCTCCATAATCCGCCAATTCTTCAGATTTTTTTTTTTTGGAAATTGCATTTGCTGGTAAATCTTCAAACCTCGCGTTAAGTCAATCTATTTTTTCCATTTAGTGATTAGGATCATGGTATGCCTCTCATTCACGCTTCTTCCATCTTTCTTTCATCATTTAATTTCTTTGCGAGGCTTTTACGATCGGATTCTGTGTTATCTAATCGTTTACCCAAAGATAAATCCTAGAGTTAGGTCAACAAAAATTACAATTATTCATGACTTTTGGCCCTAACCAATTGCTTGACCAGTACTGCAAAAGAGCAAAAGGCACAAGACCAACGGAAACTTCATGGCCCTAAAAATAAATAGATATAATAAATAAAGTCAATAAAGTAAATAATCCGGGGAAGTCTTTCCAGACTGCAAACAGTCCCAATTCAATTCCATTCAATTCTGTTATTTATATTACACTATACAAGATATTTCATCAAGTGCAGGCAGATAGGAAAATAAAGTAGCTGATAAATAATAATTAACTAAAAGATATTAAGTTCATTTGTGTACAGTGTCCAAAGTAGCAAGAACGTTCTTGTTAGACACCGTCATGTTTAGATAATCGGCAGCAGTAAAGAGAGGAAGTAAAATCTCAGATAATATCCGTGATAGAGCATATAAGCAAGGTCAGATTTGGTTGGGAAGAAGATAGGACTTCCATTCTTTCTTAAACTTATGATATGGCAGACACTTGAGACCAGGCGGTAAAGTCTCCCAGATTTTTGGAGCGGAGAATTTAAAGGACGTCTTTACCTAAGTTGGTGGATACTCTTGGCCTAAAATAATTCAGGTTACTGACAAATCTTATGATTGTGTATACGCGATGCTGGAGTCAGGACATCAAGGAAGATATCTGGAATGCTATCAGTTTCATTTCTCATTCTATGTATAAGGCAGTATATTGTTAATTCATATATGTTATATAATTTAAGGATTGTTAGGAGTTTGAAATGGGGAGCAGCACTCTCTCTAGGATGTACAAAGAAGATGGTGCGGAGACATTTGTTATGCTTAATACGAAGACAATCTAATCTGGTTTTGCTGGCACATCCCCAAGCAAGAATCCCGTAACTCAAATAGGGATATATTAAAGCATAATAAACTTGTTTGAGTATATTCAGATCTATGTAATATCTTAGTTTTGAAAGGATTCCTAAATTTTTAGCTAATTTATTATTTACATGTTGTATCTGTGGTTGCCAATTGAGATGTTTATCTATATAAACTCCCAAGTACTTTATGTAATCTTTCTGTTCAATACCAGTGATATTTATCTTTGGGTAGCATCTAGATGATGACCCTAACATATAGTTGGTCTTTGCAGTGTTAATAGATAACTAGCTTACAAAGAGCACAGTAGTTATAAATTTGTTTAAGCTGTCGATTCATTACGGATTCAAGCTGTTTTAAGTTGTCGCTAGAGTAAAATAAATTCGTGTCATCAACAAAGCTGCGCACCGAAAGATTGTCGACACAGTTTGGTAAGTCGTTCACATAAAGCAAAAATAAAAGAGGACCTAGAGTCGAGCCTTGAGGTATACCGCAGTATATATTTTCAGTGCTAGATTTAGCAGTCAATTTAAACAGATTGTCTTCGGTTGTGGAAATAACTTTCAAACCAATTATGTGGTGTACCCCAAATTCCATATAGATATAGTTTAGAGAGCAGTATTTTATGATTTACTGCGTCAAACGCCTTTGATAGGTCGTGAAATAAACCACGTTATGACCACGTTATGACCTTTATCAGTGGCCAGCTTGTTCTGAATCAGTGGAATATCCTTTCCTAAATTCAAACTGATATTTGTACAAGATTTGGTGTTTATCTATGAACGAATATACGGATACGTGAAACCGAACATCTTCTTGTATACCTTCCTTTGTTACAAAAAGACGATTGGTGGTACATTGCATCCAAGCAAGTTGATTTCCCCACCTGTCCAGGTACCTAGTCGAAAAATGAACCTCACAAAAATACGTCTTGGACAAATTCGACCCGATATTTACACAGAGCACAAATCGGGGGGGATTACGTTAGTAAGGAAAGTCTCAGTGGTAAGTCAGTAACTTTTAACGTAAAACAATTGCGGTCTTAATGATCATTTTTTCTGGTATTATTAATCGTTTATAAAGCGTAGACCTCATTAAGGAAACGCTTTTTAACGTTTTTGTCCAAAGAAAATCGATAACTCACTAAATTGAATGACCTGTTTCAAACTGGACTGTAAGTGCCCGGTGAGAGTGAATGAAAAATAATTAAAAGAGGTTAAACTGATCCAAAAGAAGAAAATCCTTTTAGCACCAAACACTGACGAAACGCTTACCTTGCAAATTTTCTGATGTCTTGAGATCTGTCAATATGGAATGTAGTTTTTGGTTTTTGAACCGGCTCTTATGAATGACCATCGTATGTTAAGTAATTCTTACCTCAGTTATTGCTGACATGGGGGCGGTTCATGCAAGGCGTGGTTGGGAGGATATGACATTTGACGCTAAGAGGGAAACTGAAAGGTACTTTTTTTACCGCGAACCATCAAGAAAGAAGTAATACAAAATCGCGACACGCAGTGCTTTATCTGATATTCAGACACCAAGAAGCGAGGCCTAGTTTTTGAGGGCGACTTCTTGTGGATAGCGGAGAAAATGACAAGTGGAGAGTTTGATTAATTAGTTTTCAAATGAACATTGATTCTTGAAGAAATTCACATCTTAAAATCGAAAATTTTTAATGTACACCAGCGTCACGGTAGTCAGTTATGTTAATGAATTATTGACGAGTTTGAGAACGTTCATTTCTTAACCTCAAAGATGCCTTTTTACAACGACGAGGTGTCAGTGGTCCTTGCCAGTCGTTCATAAATTGCATTTTATTTTCCATTTCCCAATAATTATTGTGCTCTTTGAAATATATTTTTCAGCTCAAATAGTTCAAAGATATTTGTACATATTTCCTCTGTTTTGTGACACAAAGGATGCAATAATATCATAACCTTTCAGTGTCCTTGTTTTGTTTGGCGTTAGAAAAAAAAGAAACAGAAATACCTCTGTTATAAAAATCATCATTTCGTTTTTGCCCCAGTAATTGAGTAAAATGTGGGCTGTTCTTTAGCGTGAGTTGGTGGTAGAGTACCTGCTTCCGATAAATGAAGCGTAAAAAGTAAGGGCTTTTAACTTTAAATCGAAAAGTAAATGAAAGCAACATCATAACCAAAAACGCATGTTTATCAATTGGTCTTTTGATATTTTACTCAGTTTTTCGTTCTTTAGAGTTGAATGATTTTTTTTAAATATTAATTTCGTTCAAAATATTTCTCCTTTTCTGATTGGCTTAAATCCCACGCATAATTTATCATAACCTGTGCAGCTACTGTCGGCCAATTTTGGAAGATTAGTTGCGATATGTGAAACAATGACGTCAAGTGTGCAGCAAAACTGCCGGATTATTGAACAAACCTGGGGACGAGGTTGAGTTGTTTTGGTAGTGAAGAAGTAGGCAAACTATTGGCTAGAAACATAACAAGAACAGCAAGAAGACAATTCGAAGGACGACATCTGCTATTTGGAGAATATTTGCAGAAATGAACAACCCTTTTTCTCCTAAACCTGCCGATAAACATGCATCATCGAAGATGCATGAACTTAACATCGACGGAGTTAAGCATGTTTTTATAGCGTGTTTGTAAACCAGGAATTATTGTAAATGAATTCAAATAATTGTTAATTATTATTCATTCAAAATATTTCGCCGTTTCTGATTGGCTAAAATGCCTGGCATAATTCAACATAACCAGCTATTGTCGACCAAATTTGGAAGAATTTTGCTACATGTGAAAAATGACGTCAATCGTGCAGCAAAGTTGCAAGCTTATTGAACCGTCAACCGAGAAAACCTGGGGACGAGTTTTAGTTGTTTTGGTAGTGAGTACAAGATGGCAGAACTTTTTACGCGTTTCACGAGGAAGAAAAAGGCAAAATATTGTCTAAGAACATAGCAAGATGACAAAAATGCAACTTCGATGTACGACATCTGCTCTTTGAAGAATATTTGCAAACCTAAACAACCCTTTATATTCTAAACTTCCCGACAAACATGCACTATCGAGATGAACTTATCATCGACGGGGGTGAGTATGTTTTAGCTTGTTTTTAAACTAGGAATTATCAGTTTGAATGAATAATAAAACAATTATTGAATTCAGCTTTGGTATCATCTGAAGAATTATGGATATCTCAGAGGGTGTTATCCGTCTCGGCCACACCCTCCGAGATCTCCATAATTCTTCAGATGATACCCAGCCTTATTCAATTCAACATTTATTTCAATTTTTAACCATTATTCTAATATTGTATTTTTGCTGTAAAGTAGAACACACCAGCAGACAATTGGCATCAAATCTTTACGATGTGGCACGGGAGGCTTACTTCGCCAGACACGAAATCACGGATGACTCTGAGGTGGACGTGATACCAAGATACATGAATGGCGGCGTAACACCCTTGCAAGAACAGAGACCGAAAGACGACGACTCAGATGATTATACCTCACCAAGATTTAGGCGAAGCTCGTCCATAGAGAAGGAAAGGCTGTTATTTGAATCCACCGTTTAATCACTCTCCGTGCCAGAGTAAAGTGTGGTAACGTAGTCAAACTACCTGAGCTGACGTTTGATTTGGTCGACAAAACCTCGT